TTAAAATAAGAAACCCGTATTATCTCAGAAATTTTGCATTGCAAAATAATATAATCTTTTTATAGAAATCAGAACTGCTGTCTTGATATGCAGTTAACATGTGACATTTTTATTTACCATCGAGAATTATTCAAATTACTCCAATGATAAAAACGATCATCCGGGTGACGTCTTTACTGTGGAACTTCCAGATAATTATGTGCCTAAGTTAGGCTGAGGAAAACCTTTAAATGAATTTCAAAAAATCCAGAATGGACTTGGAAAGACTGGAAAATCAGTGAGTTCAATCGCTAAATTGTCATATCGATCTCATAGTGCAATATTGAATTTTCTTCGATTGGGTGATGCCTATGAAAAAATAAATCTCAGGTCGAAAAGAAAAGCTCTCTGGTAGACAGAAAATAATGATTTTGAAAAAGCTAGGGAGTGGAAAAGCGTTTCTTCGCCAAATAGCATGAGGACTTTTTACCATCTATAAATTTACCTGGTCCATCTTCTCCGCGAATGATAAATAAAGCATGAGGAAAGTCGACTTAACTGGGCAAGATATCATATGTCCTGGAAGAAAGAATATGAAGGAGTAATATTTACTGATGAAAAACAATTAATTTAGATTGGGATTAATTCTGATAACGGAATGCACGTAATGGAATGGTCAGCTGTCTCACTTGATCTGAATCCAATGGAGAATCTTTGGAACATCTCGTGGGCAGTATATAAAAATGGAAAACGGTATGATAGTATATCTGAATTAAAAGCTGCAATAACTACTAAATGGAAATAAATTGATCCACAACTATAATAGAGGCTGGTACATTCAATGCCAGATCGCATTTTTGCTGTGTTTCAGAAATCTGGGGGCTACACCAACTATCAAGTCTAATGGTCATATGATTTTGAAACACCATATTTCTGAGAAAATAGATTTACTTTTATATTTTTAAGCCGATATTTTATTTAGTTGTTGTATATAGTAAATAACTTTTTCTTAAAATGTTACTTTTCATTGGTTAGAGTTCATTTGTATTTGCAATGATTTCTGCCAAAGTTATACGTAAAATAGTGGTGATATCATTATGAAACGCACTGTACGAAGATACTTTCATTTTATGCTGATAGTTTTTCATGATCAGCTAAAATTATATTTCCTTTTATTTTTCATGTTTTTTTTTATGAAATATTTTTCTATTAATTGCTATATTTTTCATGGAATGGTAGTTTTTATTTCAAAATTCTCCTACGTAATTATTAATCTCTGAATCTGTGGAATATAAGTTTGCAATAAACGAAGTTCAAAAGCGTTTTCAAACAAAATTGAAATTAATATCATCGAGAGAAATAAAAGAAATAATAATCCATGTAAATATTATTTTGTAAAAAACAATATTTTCATTGTTTTTTTACAACAAAGAATATTTACCTGGAATCACTTGACGTTAACATTTTATTGTAATATTGATGCAGTGTTTTCAACTAAAATATAGGTAACTAGGCAAATAAATAAATCAAAATATTTAAAATAATAAATAAAAACAAATCGATACAATGTCTTCTTGTATTATCGTATGTGAATAACTATGACTGGTTTCTCTACTCAAGGGTCCCTTTGGTTAAGATATTTCATCATATAATTAAGATAAACAGACTTTTATTTACTATTTGTTAAGGAATTTTTTTAATAGATAAAAAATGAAAATTTCTTATTTCTACTTTAGAAGTCTATCTGAAAATAAAATTGAAATCATTTAGCTGTTATTTTTATGGCTTTTAATTTTGCATACATATACGGACATAATTGTGGTTCCCCCACACTGACAGCTATCCTTGTAAGGTTAGTGATAGTCTATAAGTAATTGATGTTATTCTCAATCACGTGATTTACAAAACTATTCGGATTTCTTATATAAAATTCGTATTGTCGATAATTAGTTTGTAAAAAGTTGTTTTGATTAAAAATTGCGTAAAAATTTTGATCGAAGTGACGAAAACTGTACGAGGAATTCAAAAAATGTTGTTTAGCAACTTTATGACGCTTCGTTTCCCTCGTGTAAAAAACGCGTGAAATTTGGGAATTTTTTTGTATAAAATATCAGAATTTCCCAATTCTTTTAATTAAAAATTTCACATGTTTATGTAACGACGAAGGACTGAATTATCTATAATAAGAAATATCAAACCAAACAGGATAACATCAAAACATTTAAAAGTTCATATTATAGAATGATTTAAAATTCAAAACTGAATTTGTTTTTAATATCTGTTTTAAAATGTATTTTATGAGAATAATTTCGATTCTTAGAAATGTAATTTCACAAATTTATAATTTAATGTTTTCTTTTATTGTTCTCTTTCTGAGAAAAGGAGACATTAGAAAATTTCCATGTAAATTATTATTTATCGTGAATAAGAAAAAAGTTTCGCATTTGAACTTTATTAAGTAACTGAACTATAGCATTAAATATACAAAAATCACTAATTCATAAAACATAAACTTAGGATTTTACAAAAGATTTCCTTACAAACATAATTTTTAAAATTAAGTTATATACGCTTTTAAAATTAACATAATCATGAATATTTGTAATTATCTTCACGATAATCACGGTTTATTTCAAGGATTTATCACGATAAATGCATTAAAAAATAAAAATATTTAAATTTAATAATTTAAAGATTATTATGGATCTTGAAGATCCTTAATAATGATTTAACGCCTTACTATTTTTTTCTTGCATTTTATTTAGTTTTTAAAATAAATAATGGAAAATACATTTAACAAAATCGCATACTCGTGACTTTTTAAATATTTATACTGTATACTATAAAGTAAGCTTGATCTTCAAACTAGAAAATTCACAGAATTTTGAGTATTGCGCCATGTAAAATAATTACAAAATATATTTAGCAAAACTTGTTTATATTCCTTTACTTTTGAAATATTATTGATGAAAATGAACCGAATTTATTATTTTGAGATATTAACGAGACGTTCTTAAACGCTATTTAACTTGTTTGTTTTAATCATATTTTCAAATCTTGCATCTCAAATTTCATCCGCTTCTAATTAAGATAACACACTGAAACTTTGAGGACTTACGTAATTCCGATGACAATGCATTTTAATGATGTTTTAGGGGACACACCGCTACATTCTCCGCACTCCGAAACCGATAAACATAACCAAAATGTAGAATTTAATCAAGACGTGTATATTTTCCATACACTGTATTGATGTATATAGTGGGGGCAATCTCTCACCTCCAATCTAAGAAAATGTGACCAATAAAAGCGTTTTTAACAAGAATTATCAAAATTACTAATTTATGATTGGCATTGTAACGTACGATTTATTTTGTTAACAGAACGATACAATTTACTGTAGCAGATTTTATTACAGATTAACACGGAAGGATTTGAAAGATGCTTCGTGCGGTTTATACAGATTAATGCATACCAAACAAGAAGAGATATCTTTCCTGACCCTGTCACGGAACGTAAAATTAACACAGCTTCTTAAGAATGGATCTTATCATACTGTTTCTATGAACTTCCTTGTGTTTTTTTTTGTTTTGACTAAATAAGTATGTCTTAAGAAACATCCGGTTTTCTTATATTCACCTTGATAATTCTGTATGACCGTGAATGCATATAACGTGACTTGATTAAGTTTAATCAATGAACATAAAGTAGATCATACTTTTAATTATAGTTTCTATAGAATATTATTTAACAATTAAAAGAGAGAAGTGTAAACTAAATTCAAACTTTTCAAACTAAGTAAACAATGTACGTTTCTGTTCTACACAAATTTACACAAACAGAGAAAATTATATTAATTATAGCCTATGTCTGAAATGGGTACATTTAATTTTTACATTATTAAACATTAAATAGATATAGTAAAGAAAGTAAAACACAAAGAACTCGGCAAAAATGTTGTATTGATAGTTGACCTGATTTTTGACTTTTCTGTTATTTAACAATCGCTTAGATCCGGTTGCTTCCAGCAAAATTCTTCCAATCAGCGACAGCACAGAACTTGTGCAGGCATAAATAATAACGAAACAATTCATAAAATAGAATCTAAAACACCACACGAATATAAACTGTGTTATAATAACAATATGAACTTTCTTCCGTTTTATGATTTTCCGTTCAGGTGTGGCCTAGGAGTTTAGTTTGGCGTTATTTGTAAGTTCACTCAACCTGGTCACATTCGACTGTTCTACTTTAGTCACGAAAGTATAACAGGTTTGATTTGATTTAATGGTCGAATATCAGGTTGTAAAATTAGAACAGTTTATGTGAATTATTATTAAAGGTATAGGGTCTGTTTCTTTTAATAAGTAAGTTCAAATAAAATATCGAATAAATTCATAAAATAATTAAAAAATAGCAATTCATAATATAATTTTTAATCACAAAAACTGTTACTTACTTTACTATTTATCATTTTTTTAATTGTTTATCTCAGTAAATTAATGTAAGTTTAAGAATTTTACAGCTCATTTGCAAGAAGAGCTTGTTTACATTATAAAATGGAAAATATAAAATTTTTATATTAGTAATTAATTTAATTAGCGGACTTCAAGAATTAATACTTTGTACGAAAGAATTAGAAGCAGAAAAACGGGAGTAAAGTATTAAAAATTATATATTTGTAATTATACTTGCATCGTGACATTGCCTCATAGTATAAATAAAAAATAAAGAATATTAAATGTATTAACTAACTATATTAACTAATTATACTCACCGCATATCCATGCCGAGATTAGAAGAAACGAACGAAGCAAGACAATCATGTTAGATACTTTAAACAGGTCGTCCTTGCAAAATTTCAGCGCTTACACCCTCTACTCAACACAATAGATTGGCACAATGTAGATGTTTTCAGTTACTTTACAGTTGTGTATTTATTGTAAAAATTTATTGAAATAAACCAGTTCAAATGATTTATATCGTGCGATATAACAAATAAGAAGTATCATCTCGGAATCAGTTGATGACAAAAACTTCCGCCGATATCATTTCCAAAGCTTAAAATGATGTCAGAAACAGTTGTTACTTCCAATTGGTTGTTGCTTAGTAAGTCAACCAATAAAGATGCTTCGTTGTTAGTAACGGAAGAATGACTTTGGAAAATTAGTTTGATCAGTCGATTTTCGTGGATTTAAAACTGTTGACGTTTTCTTCTGCTTAAAAAAAGATTAATTTCTATAAAATTAAAAATTATTCAAAATTAAATTCGAAAAATTATATATTGAATGACTAAGCTGGAATTGTAGAAACAATCGTGTTTCCACAATAAAAACTTGTCTGGTTCAGTTGAAAAAATTTTCAAACTAAACTTTTTCAATAATTTTTATTGCATTTTACATCTTTATAAGTTTTTAAAATCTTAAAGATGAGAAATAATCAAAAAATCAAATGAATTTTTCATAATAAATAACACTAATAAATTTACAACTTTACAGACTAGAAAAGAATATGAATTTTTTCTGGATTTTTACCATATTCTAGATCATAATTTTTCCTAAATTTTCATAAATTAATTTGTATAACTTTAATAAAAACAAAATAAAATGATTACAATAACGTTATGAGAGATCCGTGCCTATATGTAGGCAGTAGCGTTACCAGGATGGGGCCAGTAAATGAAGAAAAAATCAAATAAGTTCAGGGAAAAGATTTAAATATGACAAACGCATACACATGTAGGTCTATATACAATATCTTAGAGTTTACTCTTTATTCACAGCGCTAGTGGCTATATCCATAGTAGTACAGAGGTGAATGTAGTTTGCACGTTCTAATTCGACTCCTCTAGTTATGCTACTGTATATAGTTCATATATGCGCATAAGTTAAATATTTTGAAATGAAGTAGCCTAACTGAATTTTCTTTTAATATTCAGTCATTTTCTCTAACTAAAACTGAATAAAACTATTATTATATTTCTGTATAATTTCATAAATAATAAAGAAATAAATTTTTATTTCAATGTTTTTATTAAATATAAATACATTTATGTCAATTATTTCTAAACTTAGACTCTTATTAAAACATAGTAATGCAATAAATTTCGAAGAATAATATACGGAAAAGTTTATACATCTACTCATAAAAGTACGAGAAATATTTACGGAATTGAACATCAAAATATGTAAGAGAATTTTTACATTAAGCTTTAAATTAATATTTTTAATTAATTAAATTATACATTATTTTTTTTAATATAATGAGAACCTTATGGATACAAGGGGAGGACTACAGGAGTTTAAGCCCTCTGACACAAAAAATAAATTAATTAATTAAATAAAATTTATTTGTTCGAACTTTAAAACGTTGTTTTTAAAAATATTTACTATGGCAAATATTGTTTAGTGGATCATTTGCAATACAAAATGTTACTAAAAAGTATAGTACTTATTAATTATTTAAATATTTAACATTTTTCAGTTGGTCCCTCCCATTTGGATACTTCTGGATTCGCTACTGAATCAAGCAGATAAACTGTAAATTCATATAGGTTAAGTTCTATTTACTGTACTTAGAAATGATGGATATTAATTCATAATGCAAACATGATTGTTAAATGATTAAATCACATTTCAGTTCATTAAATATGAATCATTAAGCTAAACTTCATAAAATCTAATATTTTAGCATTAAAATATCTAGTATTACTGCTATTACCTACACAAGGAAAACTTTGCCAAAATATATGAACATACTGTGCCATCTAGGATTAAGAAAATAAAACGAATTTTTCAAATAATAAAATAAAATATAGATATTTTAAACGAAATTTAATATGTCTGCATAGCTCTCAAAATAATAATACTATTTGTTTTATTTACTGTATAATATATTTGTTAAAATATTACTTCGTTTATATTTGATTTTTAAAATATATATTTCTAAATTTCGTGCTTAATTAAAAGAAAATATTTAATGAGTACTTTCGTTTGTTACACTCAAGTTTATTCAGAAAATTTTACAAGAACAACAGAATTTGATTACATACAATAAGTTTAAATTGAATTTAAAAGTGTTGGATTTACATGGAGTTGTATTTAATAATGCTTTATATTTAAATATTCTGACGAAGCTTATGTGTAACTAGCGAAAGTATTCATTAAATTACTCTAAATTTGTTCTAAAAACATAAATTTTCTGAACACGAAATCCAATTTTCTTAAAAATTCTCGTTTTTTCTCTTAGCAACACTATGTAGATAAATGTCGCACTTGCCTCATCCTTGTTATTTACTATAAAATATTAATAAATATAAATAAATAATGAATGAAATACTATTTGTATCACATATTTAAATTATTTTTTACTTTTATTGAATAGGAGAACTTTTATAGTTATATAGGCTATATAACTATAAAAGTTATCTTACGTAAGTGTTTATCACACCAAATGACCAATCTAACACATTTTAAAAATTTTTTATTCTTTTACTGTACACAATTTAACGCATTTTTAAAATGTGTTAGATTGGGCACTCGGTGTGATAAACCCTTACGTAAGATAACCTTTGTAAATATAAATCAAATACTGTAATATAATATAGTAGAAGGGTTAGAAGTTCGAAATAATCTAATAATCTTAATTTTTGCTGTTGTTATTTTTTGCCCGAGCAATGTCGGGCTCATCTGCTAGTTTAATATAAATTAACGAAACTAGGAAGGTAAAATATTAGTTTTTTATTTTAGAATAAAATAAATAACTAATGTTTTATCTTCCTAGTGGAGGGCAGACAGCAGGGTTACGGATCCTGTTCTTGTCTCTATATAACTCTGGCCCAGGATTTGTTATACAGTTTTTGGTTCGCACCAAGACTGGAGCCAAAATCCAAACAATAAATTTATGTAGGCCTACGTTTAAGTGCTTAATAAAAGAAAGAAAGGGGGTGAAATGATCCGAGATTATCACTTAAGAATATATAGAGGGGTCCGTAAAGCCCTAGGGCCGTAATCTCTCTTCATAGTTTTGCATAGAACATACGTGTTGAATTAGTTTATATACGGGCCTACATTAATTAAATAATTAAAACATTTCAAAATTTGTTAGATTCGCTTCATGGAAAAGATTTAAACGTAAACACAGATTTTTATATCAGAATATATAATAATGCGCAGTTTAAGTAAAACATTATTATTGTATTGTTTATTTTTGTTTCACAATTTGATACAGAATGTTTTATTTAAATGCTTAAAAATATTTAGCTATTTTTCTAATATTTTGGTTAATATTTAAATTCAAAGCATTTTGAAAAGCAATTTTTCAAAATGAAAAATTCAAAAACATTTCAGTGATTGATTATTGTACATTGTTGAGCAAAAGTTAACTTACATTTCCTATATTAACGTTTTACTAGGATTTTGACATTAATGTTTACTGTAATTTAGATATTAGCTTAAATTTGCAGCCAATTTTCGAAATGACGCCCTCCTAAATAAGACCACCTCGTGCAATACCAATGAATACAGTACTTGTGAACGGTTAGTTCTTCCCCATAAATAGTAAGTATAGAACTCTTCATTATCTGTGAGTTACTAAATGCTCAATTTTGCATCGTAAACGATGCCGTTATAACCAAATCACGTGAATTTAAAACTTAAAACTTGTGTATAAACCTCACTACTACAAGGTAGCTTAATCGAGGAGTAATCGAGGAGCCCTTACTGTAAATAAATTAAGAAAAGATAAAATAAGTTTAGAAAAAAACATTTCAATGTGATAAACGCACTTACAGAATACATGTACAGTGCATGAACAGTGGCGCGTTATCCTATGGGCAAAAAGGGCAATTGCCTGGAAAACCAACAGGGCTTTTCAAACCTATCTTTTATAAGAAAATATTTCCTCCAAAAATTTTGAAGTCAACACTGTACGTACATGGGACCCTCTAATTTAAATTTTCCTGGGCCCCATGAAGATATAAAGCGCCACTGTACAATATCTAAGAGTTTACTTACTCTTATCTACAGCGTTAGCAAACTTATCACCCCTGTACCACCAGTTGTACAGTGTTAGTGGATAGTAGCCCCCAACGTAGTACAAATGATGGTACAGGGATAAATATAGGTTTGCACGATCTAATATCGATTCTAGCTACGCTACTGTACATTAGTCTTACTGTTTGAGATACTTTACACTCGATTTAATGCCAATTTTAGACTATCAAATGGTGACGTTAAATTAAAGTTTGACTGTATACAGTATTTCAATTAAAAGTTTTTGTACTAGAGTTTAATCTTATAATATAATGAATTATTAACAATTATTGATTTATTGCAAGTTAAAAAAATTCCAATTCAGAAAAAGTTCAGTGGTACAGTACTGTACATATATATAACCTACACTATTTTCTGCAACTTTTATACCGTAGTTTTCCTTGTAAGCATTTCATGAAAATTTCGTATGCAGTTCTTTCTTAATTAGATTACGCAATAAATATATGAATAAAGAAAAATAAAAGTAATAAATAGTTAATTCTAATAAAGTTTTAATAAATTTATATATTAAAAGAATTTATTATATAAATTAAAATTAATAAATTAGCCTACAATTGAATCAATCAGGCTTAAGTATTTTGCTTTTAATAAATTAATACAGACATTTTATTTTAATTTAATTGTAGATCTATTTTATTTTATATAAAGTTTGTATTTATAATTTATTTGAATATTACATATACATTATACATTACATACATTACATATAAAATATAATATAACATTAGCTCATATTACAACGTGCAACTGGACACAAAATGTGTAATGAAAATTTTAAATTCTGCAGTGGGAATCCCACATTTGTGCAGTGTTAAAATAATATGCTAAAGTTAAAATATTTATCTAAATTACAAATGTACAGTACGTAAAATCTGTTCAAAATGGAACATAATAAAAAGAAAAATAACCTAAACGGAAAAAAATTCTTCGGAACGGAGCGATTTTCTATGCTAAAAAGGAACCTGCCAGACCGGAAAAATACTCGATACCGTGCGATTCCGGTTTACACACGTTTTACTGTATATTTTATTCGGCCTACGAAAAATGAGCTATGGAAGGAATGTTTGTAGGATCTACCATTTGTATCGAATGTATACAGTAGATATTTTTTACTGCAGTTACATTAATATTATCATTTAAACTAGG